GATCAAGTGTGGGACTGCAGTTGGTGCTGATTGCTGCCTAGAAAGTATTCAAGCCTGTAAGCCTCTAGTGTTTTATGGGGCAATCTACGAGGAATGGCCCCGCAACACACAGCACATAGAACCAGTGCTTTGTAGTAACGCGTGTTTTTTCGCATATTTCTTCAATGCACAATGGGCCCTTATGTATTATTTTCCCCTTTCATTAAACTGTCTCCTCCATAGGTTTTTCTTCTCACTTCTCTATCTATCTTACCACCTTTCTAATCTGAGATTTAAAAACAGTGATGGAATTTTTTTGGTTTTTCTACACTATTCAAATTGTTCTTCATTTTCATGTTCCTCAATTAATTCCTTTGCAGTTTGTTATACATCACTCTTATTTAGAGATCCTTCAAAGTGACCTTCTTCAGTTACACTAATATTTATTACTTTAACATTGTTTGTTAACCCATCGACTGTAAAAAAATATATGCTACTCATCAGCCTTTCTCAACGATGGTGCCGTGGCACCATGGGGTGCCTTCAAATTTTCACACAGCGCTATGCATTTCTATGGTGCAGGTGAGTTGGCCAACAGCACCATGGAAATGCAGGATGCTAATCCAAGGCAGGCTGCATCCAGTATCTCCTCAAGCAGTCAAAAAGGATAGAAGTCCACTTCCTGATGTGGAAGGGAGCTCCTGATGGGAAGCAGAGCTTCTGATATGAAAGGGGGGGGGGGGACTCTGATGTGAAGGAGGAGGACTCCATGTCTTTTTTTTTTGTGTGGGGTCCTGCCCTAAAGTGGACCTTTACCCCTTTTACTAAAAAACACATCAGCATGGAGCTCTACATGCTGATGTAAAATAATCTTACATTTATTAGTTATAGAGTTAAAGACACATGTATTTTATTTACTTACAAATAAAGTTTATCACTTCCTGGTCCAGTTTTGGCACACATTATGCCCAAGCGCTGCATCCTGTGAAGGTACTGTAACATCAGCAGTGCATTGCTAGGAAATCTCATCTGTAATCTCACGAGATCTCAGGGAAAGGCATTTTCCTCCCTTGAGATGATGTGCATAGTCACATGTCGTAGTCACATGTGCCAGAGTTCCAGGACGTAGAAGGGAGAGCTAGTAACCTGCCCTTAGCAAAAGTGGCTACTGTCAGAAGAATGGGGAGGAAAAGAGAAACAAGGTATGCAAAGCCTGCAATTATCTAGAAGTATGTGTTTGTAGAATGTCATTACTAAACATTTCTAAAGGTGTATTTGTGGTTATTTTAAATATATGGGTAAATTTCCTCTTTAATATCTATACCAGACCTTTTTCAAGCATAGCGGTCTGATAATAGATTTTTGGGGAACCACAGTAATTTTTTACATTTTAGACTAGGGTGCCTTGAGATTCTGCATAGTTTTAAACAGTGCATTGACTGAAAAAAGGTTGAGAAACAGTGCTGTATATCAGGCAATCACAGGGTTGAAACAAGCTAAAAAGCTGCTATAGCTGCCAGCTTGTCTTAAAATGAATCTGTCAGCCTTCTTAAGTAAAAATAACTTAGGCAGCAGCAAAAGCCACACGATCACTTCCACATTGCAGAAAGGCAGCAGCCCATCCTGCTACTTTATAACAGAACTGTGATGACTGCATGAAGCAAACCCATCACCGCCAAACCACTATCACATAGGTGGCTTGTCATTTTGTAATTTTTTATATTGTCCCCTTTTTATATTAAAAAAGGAGAAATGTATTAAAAATGTTTAAGTATAATAACCTATTTTAAAACCAGCAAAAAAAAAAATCACACGCAGATGCATATGCATACACACATGTAACATAATATATAGTAACTAATATGTAAGGTTGAATATAAACCAAGGTCCATCCAGTTCGACCTATGCATGTGAGTAAGTGTGTGTGTGTGTGTGTATTTATCTTGCTCTAACACTTCCCATATCCCTGTAGGCTCTGTGAAAGAAGAAACTCATCCAGAAGTTTCTTGAATTTATCATTGTGATCAGTAGATACCACCTCCTGTGGTAGGGAATTCCAAACTTTCACAACTCTCACAGTGAAATACCCCCTTTGCTAATTCTAAGATTGAACCCCCTCCCTTTTAACTTCCTGTTGTGTTCCCGGGTTCTCAATACAGTTTTGGAATTAAACAGTATGTTCCTAATATTGTGGTCCCCATTTATGATTTTGAAGACTGCACCTCTTTTCTAAGGTGATTAGGTTGACCACATATTACAGAACACATATTACATTTCTCCAAATAGCAGAGGTAGAAGAACAATTTTAGGGTCATGATTTAGGTTTAAATCTAATCTGATGAACTGCAAATATTTAATATGTGACCAGGGTTTTATAGTTCAGTATTTACTGGTATTTACTGGTAATATAATACTGGTACAAGTACTAGCTAAATGCTCTGATATCGGACTTTCCAGTCAGAGGGAGATTCCCTCTGACTGGTAGTGCTGCGAGGGAGCATGGAGTCAGCTTCCCGGGCAACCAGGAAGCCGGGCCGAGGGTCATGACTAGGAACCCGACATTACGCCGCCTAGCGACAATGCAAGGCAGCCTGGCTTCCTTACCAATCAGGTCAGGAAGCCAGGCTGCCTCGCAGTGTCGAGAGGGAGCGTAAAGCTGGTGTGCTTTCAATGGAACACCGGCTTCCCAGGCAATCAGGAAGCCAGGGCGGCAGGTCATAACCCACGGGCCAACTTTCTGATTAGCCAGGCCCACGCTACCTTGGGGTGCCAGTATCGGTATTAGGTATCGGCAAGTACCGGACAAAAATGTATCGGGACTCATACTTGATGCCGAAAAAACAGTATTGGTGCATCCCTAGTATTTAGTAACTCGCATAGTCCCATGCTTTACAATACATAGGAATTTCCAAATTATATTTTGCTTTGTGCACAAAAAGAGAATGGGAATGGAGCAAACAGAATTTGAAGCAGTTGTTCATAGTAACCAATCAGCTTTTCTTTGTAGTTTGTTCAGTCAAGCTTTCAAAATGAAAGATAGAATATGACTGGTTGCCATGGGCAACTGCTCCAGATTCTGTCTGCTCCAGTTTTGATATATATACATATATA